GAATAAAATGAAAGAAGAACAAGAACATAGAATTTATACTTGGTTCACCCAATCCACTGGGCTACATGTAGTTCTCAACGAATTCTAGTTAAGTTCCACTAATCAAAATTCAATTGATTACAAGTGCAGACAGTAGAAAATCAATCTAGACTAAGAACTATAACCAAATTCTCTAACCTATAACAACAACCACAATTCCAGTTCTCTAAATCAATGCTCACAATTCAGACACCAAAAATACAAAGAAATGAATGATCAAGATGCTTGAAGAAACTACAACAAAAAATTAAAATTTTCGACAAACAAAATCCGTCGGTAATTGTGTTGTTGGTAAATATTACCGACGGATTTGAAAAGTCCATCGGTATATATATTAAATTATTTCATTTATAACCCCTCTCTATTTATCTACAGGTCCCCCTTCCATTTATTTTATATTTTTATTATTTATTACAATTCTTAGAATCAGATTAAGAGAATTGTCATTGACGAGCTTAAAGTTGGAGACTGATACTCCAACCACTAGGCTACTAAGATTTTCCAATAATAATTTACAAATAAATTATATTTGTATACAAATAAATGTATATCTGTGTAAATATATAAATATAAAATATATAAATACAAATATATTTATATATTTTGATATATTTATATATTTATATGTTGGATGTGAGGACATGCTTGACGGTGAAAGTGTGTGTCATGTTTATGAGAATATATTTAAAATTAAGTAATTATTATATAATTTTAAATATTTAATTTTTTAATTTAATGTTCATTTTTAAAAATATACTTTAAATTCGTTGGTAATTGAATAAATAATTACCGAAGGATATATCCGTCGGTAACTAATTTTCCATTTATTAAAATTATTAATTTACTAATAGATATATCCATCGGTAAATATTTGTTCATTTATTAACGGATTTACCGATGGATATATCCGTCAGTAATTATTTGTTTATTTACCAACGGATTTATCCGTCGGTAATTAATTATTCATTTACCGACGGATTTATCAATGGATATATCCGTTAATAATTAATTATTCATTTACCGACAGATATATCTGTCAGTAATTAATTGTTCATTTACCGATGGATATATCCATCGGTAAGACCAAATTTCACAACTTCTCTAAATCCATTGGTAATTTCCGTCGGTAATCACTTATTTTTCGACGGCTCTATATTCATCGGTAAATAAGAAATTTCTTGTAGTGGAATATGTAGAAGCAAAAATCCAATCACATAATGAGTTTTTTCGAAAATAAGAGTCTCAAGAATAATTTTAAAAGAATTCTAAAGAATAAAGCGTGATTCTCTCTTAGAATAGAGCTTAAAAGATTGCTTGAATGATTTCTTCAAAAAGTGTTTTTTGAACGCAAGTGAAAATCTGTTTGTATAGAGATATTTTTAACTAAGCTGATACTATTAACCTATTAACTCATAATTTAATTGATTAAAAAACTTATTTTAAATGAATTTAAGCTGTTGAACAAATGTTTTTTAATCGATTAAATGAAAATACTTTTGAATTTTTTTGAGACATTTTAACTTATAAAAATGTGGTTTAATCGATTAAAAGATTTCTAGATCTTTTTCAGAAACGTTTTAACTGATAAAAATGAGGTTTAATTGATTAAAAGAATTATAGATATTTTCCAGAGACATTTTAATCGATAAAGATGAGGTTTAATTGATTAAAATTGCAAAACAGATAACTCTTTTTATACTTAAGTTAATTTAATCGATTATTTAAAAAATATATCGATTAAAAATACGACTACAAAAGTTTTTTAGTTGTTTAAATGAATTTAATCGATTCTTTCGAAGATGTATCATTTTAAACTTTGATTGAAAAAAATCTTTAGCTGTTTAAATGAATTTAATAGATTATTTTGAACATGTATCAATTAAAAACCTTTTTGAAGAATATCTTAACCGATTAAAATGATTTTTAATAGATTAAAAATAATTGAGGCACTTTATACTTTGAAAAAGAAAGAAACTCATGCTTCAAAAAAGAGGATAAATGCTTATACCTACATAATGTAGACACACTAATGAATTATAGCAACATAGTATCTTCTTTTGACTTCATCAAATCTTCCATTAAGTCTTCCAAGATTTTTCCTATAATAGCTTCTTCATCATTATTTATTATAATTTTAAGAATAAAATTCCTTTATAGTGAAAAAAATATTTTAAAAAGATAAAATGGGTTTAAGAAAATATAAGAAAAGTGACAAGCACATCACTCTTCATCTTGATTAAGTAAATTTAAGTTGAAATCAAGGTGCATAAACAAAACATCAAGGTGCCTAGTAGATGAATTTTGTGAAACACACATGTTTTTGAGATCGAGATTCTGATTTTGCAAACGCAACAAACTGCTAAAGCATAATCAGAAGTCATGCACAACTTTTGTGATCGTGTATTCTAAAACAAAGAAGAATTCAAAAGGTAGCAACAATGGTGGTTTCGAAAAGCAATAAAGAATAATACGAACCAAAATTGTTGAAAAAACATCGACAAAACTAAATGAACAGTAGCAAAACTAGCAGCAGAAATCGAAAATGGTATAAAGTTGAGATGTTGTGAGCTTCTCGATTGGAAGAGAAAGAGAATTGAAATTAAGAGAAAGTATTTGAGAGAGACAAAAAAAAGACAAAGAAAACAGGCGTCTAAGTATAACTTTAAGTAGTACACACAATTAAGACGAGGTGAGTACGATTCATTACGTGCATATTTATAATACAAAACAATTTAACTAATATTTTATTTTCAAATATTGTTTACCCTAAAAGATTAAAAAGTAATTTGTGCTTAGAAGAAATGACTTTTGTCAATAAAGGAATACTTTTTAGCAGCTTTTGAAAAAATGTTCTTTATTTAGTTATTTATTTTTTAGGTCTCTTGATAAATTTTCAAATTTTTTTAAATTTTCGATGATTTTCCAAATTATGACTAGACATTTTTAGTCAATTAATAATATTAATAGGAGTTACTACAATGTTATATGAAATATAGTTACATGTGTTTTTATTAAATGAATTTACTATATATTAATTAATCATATGTTATATTTAGTATAAGATTAAAAGGAAAAAAATTATATATAAAATATAGGAATAAGAAAAGAGGACAAGAATATAATAGGTTTTTAGTAGACTTTTTTTAATAATATATAATTGATGTTTATTATAAATATTAGTGGATCAAAATGTTTTTGACAAAGAACAATTAATTATTTTAAAACCTATAAATCATAATTAAAGATTAAGCTTATGTAATAAATAATTTAATATATATATATATATATATATATATATATATATAAATTTTTATTAATATATAAAATTTTTGTATATGGGTGTGCATGAATAATTTTTTTAAAAATATATATTTCATTGATCGCTTTAAATATATATATATATATATATATATATATATATATATATATATATATATATATATATATATATATATATATATATATATAATTTGTACTCGTCTTCAAACTAGTGAAGTAAAACGTCATAACTTATGTTTTGTACTCATCTTCGAATTAGTGAAGTAAAACGTCATAAAGGATGGTGTGAGAGATTAATATTAAGAAACATTCATATGTTTTATAATGTTATTGTTGAAAAGAAAAAGTTTTAGGTTTTTTTTTATGAAAATATACATAATAAATCATCACACTTTGTAGGATAATTTATGTTTTATTTATTATAATTTTAGGAATATAATTCCTTTAAACTTTAAAGGAAAAATTATTTTAAAAGTATAAAATTGGTTATAATTAATTATCAAATCATTTTTTTTAAATCATTATAAAATTATATTTATATTTAGTTTAAAACTAATTATAATAATAAATACTTTATGTTATAAAATGATTCTCCTAAATTTAAATTTAGAGAACCAAAATTTAATTTTAATTAAGGTGTTTGTGTAATCTTGAGTGATGGTTTAACATCAATTTATCTAAAAGAAATTTACTACAAGAAAACTTAGTTTTAGCGACCAGATAAATTTTGTCGCTAATGTCAAAAAATTGGTCACTAATCTATTAGCGATCGAAATTAATGACCAAAATGCGTAGTCGCAAAATGTTAAGTCGCTAATGCGTTAACAATCGATTTTTATTTCGATCGCAAAATAACAACCAGATAAGGTAGTCACTAAGGTGATTGCTAAATAATTCGGTCACTTATTCCTTAGAGACTAAAATAACGACCAAAATTAATATATTAAATTGATTGCTAAATCGGTGACAAAGTTAAAAAAATAACTCTCAATATAATTGATTACTCATATATTAATTGAATTATTTAAATAATAATTTAAATCGATCGTTAAATCGATCACAATACACGAGTAACCAAAATTAATATAATAAATTGGTTATTAAATTGGTGACAAAGTAAACAAAATATCATTAATATATTAATTAAATTATTTAAATAATAATTTAAATCAATCGCTAAATCAAGTGCAAAAATAATCACAAAATAATTTCGGTCGCTAAATTTGGTTGCAAGGTTAGTTTGTTATTATACATGCTTAACTATAGTTCTGATTGATTTGGTTGCGTGGTTGGTTTGTTATTAATATTATATGAATTGATTTTTTTAAGCTTACGCACGAGACTTTTTTCACCTCCCTCTCAGCCAATAGACCTCACATCATGTAAATTTACAAGTGGTTTTCAGAGTAAGCATCTAAATGCAAATAAGCTTATTGAATTAAAAGCTAATGATATATATTCAAGTGCTTCTGCAAGTAAAACACATGCATCATAAAATTGAATTTGAATGTAATAATAACGTGGCAATTACAATTTTACATTCACATAATATAGATCTCTTTACAGTAGTAAAGTTTGATTCTATACCTCCTCACATTTTTTTTTATCATAACAGCAAGGAGTCCATTTGATCCCATACCTCTCTCCACAGCAATGAATGTTAAGCATGGATATGTAATATGCTACAAAATTGCAATCGAAGCAACCTGCAATATTACATATTTCAGTTAGAAAGTCAAACCATTGAGCCCAACCTTAAAAACCATTGATCTGAATAATAAAAGAGGAATCATAATACTATGCTTGAGGTCCTTGGTAGCCTAACATGTCTCACATTCATACTATTGAATAGAATTACTTACCCCTATGCCCTTGCTGAGATAAAGACCACCTCCACGAATAAGAAGCCACAGACCACCGTCCGCTCTCCATCCCATGTTCTGCATTCTTCTGGCAACTGCTCTATTATGTGGCTGCCAGAATGGCTGAAAATAAAATAAATTAAAATAATTGTTACCAAGCTCTATGTAGAAGACAAACCATAAGTCAATATGAAATCTCATGGTTAAATGGAAAACACGTAATCTATACAAGGCACTATCTGAGATTTATCTCCCAAGGAAGAGCTACTGCATTACTCTAGACTTTAGAATCATGCCACACTGAGAAAGGAAGAAGGTTTTTTACATTAAAAAGCTGGTGTAAAAAGAAACACAAAAAATCCTCTGATTTTGTCTGTTGGTAAACTACTTATTTTTTTCCTCGGAGGTATATTCTATCTATAGAATCAACTGGATGAAAACAAAGAAAGAATACATAAACAAGACATTATAGGGCATGCCCAATAGGAAGGTTTGGTAAATCACTTTAGCTTACTTTTTGGGCCTTACGTCAAAGAAGACCCAGCATCAAAGAAAATATTTCATTATTTCAGAAACTGTATGTAATCTGTTCCATGTGACCAGTTTATCGCAGCTACTTGAGAATTTCTATATTGATAATTTTATTTCAGGTGAACATTTTCTCATAATTCAAATTCCAGGGAAGGCATACCAAAAGCACAAGTACCAAGAAAAAAAGAAGCAAAAGAAAAAAAAAATGTCATCATAAAGTATAAGCCTCACCTGACCAGGCTCCCAGGTTAAGTAGAAGTTGCCCCGACTTGAGACTGCAACATACCTTCCATCTGGAGAGCGATTGACAGTATTGAAAGTCCTAGTGTAATAGCTTGCACCACTAATACCACTAGAAATTGTTCTGAAGAAGCAACACGGATAAATAAATGCCTTGACGTATAAAACTGAAAATAATCAGCAAATCACATAATACAAAAGATAACCCAGATGAATGAGTGTTTGAAGCACATAACCAAAGAAGTAAAACTTATGTAACAAATAACCCCATCGACACTCACCCTGCAGTCAAACTTTTCAAGCAAAACTCAAAACATTCCAATTTTACTATCCATGATAGTTCCACGCATACATAGAACTTGGTGCATAATTGGAAACTGACCTGTTTAGAGTAGCTGACACAGTTTCCTGAACAGCAACCCTCCAGTTGTAACCTCTGTTAGTAGTAATATATATTGCACCTTCGTTAGTCACCATCTCTGCACTCTTCTCACCGGTCACCTTTATGTACACCTGCAACCCATCACATTAAATTTTATTACAATTTACACAAAAATTATTATTAGAATAAATAACAATGAATAACCATTAACCAACCATATCCCCTGGAAGTTCAGCACTGAGCGGTATCCTCTCCCAGCTTTCTCCAGTATCAGTGGTGTACAACAGAATCGCAAGTTTTCCAACTATCCACCCTTCCTTCCCTTTGAAACTGATAGAATTGAAGTGATAGTTGAAATCTTCGTCTTCGGTAGAGGGAATGGAACGCGGAGCCCAAGTGTTTCCTCCATCCTTCATCTCGTCCCGAGGAGAAAACCTAAAATGCGAACACCGTTCATCCATTTAACTCCAATTCAAACCAAAAAAACCGCTACTAAGGTGAAACGAGAGGAGATTATGAATTTACAGTACCGAGGTTGGGGTCGTCGGGGACAAAAGCGATGTCAAGAAGCACGACGCCGGGGTCGATAGGGAGGTACACTCTTTCCCACTCCGAAGGCCCTCGCCGCAAAGTTAGGAATTACAGCGAACTTGAGCAATTACTTCAGAGAATAACTGAAATAAGAGGATACACAAAGTTTCGACACTCGAAGGGGAGAAATAGCAAGTCAAAGACAAAAGAAAGCGAGAAATTGAAGGTGGAAAGAAACGCTAACCTTTGCGAGAAAGAGAAGAGCAAAGAGAAATCATGCGGCACTAGGTGGGGATTTTTACCTGGTTAGGGTTGTGATTTGTTGGATTGGTCGAAAGTAAAGATTAGTGGGTGTTTACGTTACTGGCACTGCTCTTATTGCTTGCCACCACAATGTCATCAAAACATTCAAAATATTGACGCGGCCAAGACCCGTGGTGGTCGTGGTGAGGGACGTGGGCCGAGTGTGAAGAAGGCGCGATGGTTCCACGGTGGTGTTTGCAGTAGCCACTAGTGGGGATACGCTGGCCGGCAATGAAGGCTGGAGGTGAGTGCAACGCGCAGATTTAGAGCTGAGGATGAATGGGAGAGGAGAGATAAATGGAATGGAGAAGGGAATCAGAATGGTGTTGGTCGCACGGACTTAAGGCTGTGCTCTGTGGTGGTCGTGGTGAGTGATGGATCACGGGTTGTAGTGGAGGTTAGCGACGTAGCTCAGGCAGAGGTATGGACAAGTTGGTGCTGAGATGAGATGCGAGAGTAAATATATCTGTCCCGAACCTAAATCCTCTAAAAATATTTAGATTAAAAATTAGGATATTGAAACACTACGATGAATTAGGTAAAAAAGATAAAAATGCAAGTTAGATGTTTATATTAATTTTTTTTCTTTTTTTTTATATAAATGTAAAAATGTTAGATGAAATTATTTTTTCCTTTTTTTCTTTTTTTTAAAGAAATTATTTTCTTCATTTTTCTTCTTTTTTTAAATTGTAAAATGCTACTAAAAGAGTTATTATTATATTATTATTATTTTATTTTCCTTTTTTTCTTTTTATTTTTATTTTTATTTTAAAATGTTTAAAACAAAACATTTTTCTCTTTTTTTTCTTTTTTCATATTTTCATATTTTTTCTTTTTTTAAATAAATTATTATCTATTTATTATTTTATATCTACCTGCATGAAATTTGATGTTGAAAAAAATTAAGAAAATTTTGGATAAGTTTTTTGGAATCATCAGTCTTATAATACAGCCTACCCTTTTAAAGTTTATAACTCATAGGTTGTCATGTTCTCACTCCCAATTTTATACTTCATCTCAAGATCATATCCTAAGTTTAGTGAAATTTTTAGTTGGCTGGGAATCTAAATTTGGGAAATACCCATATTTGGTTTACCTTTTAAAAAATAACAATCATAGAACCCACGGTTTCCCAAAAATGATTTTTTGCCAAATTTCCTAAATTATCTACAACTTTTATTATATTATGCAATTTCTCGCTGTAAAAGAATTCTAGATTTTGAAAGAATTCCACATTAAAATTATTAATTTTAAAAATATAAAATATATTTTAAAATAAAAATACTAAAATTATAGATTGAAAAAAAAAATAAAAATATAATCTTTACTTTATATTATATTTAAGTGCGTGTACAAATGTTGACCTTCTTAATTATAAAAAAACATTAGAAAAATATAAAGATAGAATTTGAAGGAGTGAATTTTGAAGATAAATACTATTTTTATATAAATTTATTCTAGTATATCAATTAACAATAATAATACATCAAATTTAAAAACTAAATTAAAAAAAGTAAGTTTAAATTTATAAAAAAAATCTAATATATAAAATAGTTGAAATTTTAAAAAGTACATCCTTAACTTACACTAAATGTTTTTTTGAAAAAACTTATAAGAAAAACTGGGTTTTTAAAAAAAAAAGTTACTAATTTTGAAGTTATTTCAGTGATGAAGTTTTCAAACGTGATCTATGTATTTATTGAGCAAAATTGAAGGTATGTTGAATATAAATTTAAATATATTTTTAATTAATTTAAATATGATTTATTTTTAGTATTTATAAAATGGGTTAATTTTAAATTTTTAACCTTTCTAACCATCTATTTTTAATCTGTTATTAATTATGTTAAAAATGAAAAATATTAATTAGTATAATTAAAGTAAAAAATATTTCAACTAAAGATAATTATATTTTTATAAATAATTTAATTAAATAATATATTTATTATCTAATTTAATTAAATAATATATTAATAACTATAAATTAAATAAATGGTAAATCAATATTTATTAATTAAGTGTTAATTAATATATATTTATTTTTAAATAAAACTATCATAAATTAAGTATTATCATTAACTTTACATTGGGTACACAACATAGGTTTATAATTTATAATATATATATATATATATATATATATATATATATATATATATATATATAACTGAAATTTATATTAAATGATTTAGTAAACATTGTGTAATTATTGTACTTAGAATAACATTGTGTAAATAAAAAACTTTAGTAAAGGTGAATGAATAATTAAATTGAATGATGAATGGAAAATTAGATTTAAAGGGTACAAATAAAAATTTACAATATTTTTAAAATGGAATTAGTAATTAAATATACGAAGGGTAAAGAGTATAAGAGTTTAACGTGCTACTATCAAATTAAATATAATAATATTTTTATAAATATTATAATAATAAAATCAATTTAACCTAAAATTTGAACTAATTTTTTGGATTTTATTTATTTTATCTCAATTTAATTATTTAGAAGTAATAATTTTTTTATCGTTTCTAATTAAATCAGTTCGTTGGATTTTTTAAACTACAAAAATTTATGTTGAGTTAATGATTGCTCAATAAAAAATTGTATTGATAATATATAAATTGAAGTATAAATATAAATTAGAGTGAAAAGACAAAATTAAAGATAGATAATAAATATTCTCTTTAAAATTTTAAATATTATTATTATTAATTTATTGTCCATAATTTTATTTTTATTAAATTTATTTCAAACTTTAATAGTTTATTGAGATGCATAATAAATTTAATTTTAAAAGTGTTTTAAACATATAAAATTATTATCATTACCATGAATCAATCCTGTTATAAAATATTAATTTATGTATTTGGTTATATATATATATATATATATATATATATATATATATATATATATATATATATTAATTAGAATCGTTATATTTAAAATTGTATAAACATTTAGGATAATTATTTTATACAAATAAAAAATTAGTTCAATAATTATTTTTTCAATTTTAAAAATGTTTTTATTTATTAGTCTATCAAACACAACAAAAAATATATAATGTGCTTTTTATATTTATCTTTTATTTTTATAAACAATAGTTGTACATTACTAATTAAATTATATTATTGTTATCATAAAAAGTTATCAAATTTTATAAGTTGTCCTTGTCATTAATATTATGTCTTTTATTTAAAATAATTTATTAATTTAAAGTTATACAAAATTATTTATTTAAAAAATAAGATTGATTATTAAAACTATTTTTTAAAAATTAAATTAAATCAAAATACCTCTAATGAACTTTTTTTTTTATTACATCAAATTGTTTATTTTCATTTTTATGCTTTTTTTAATATTTACGTATGTAGAAATTATTAAATGATTTAAAATATTTTTATTCGTTTGTTTTTACATGATTTCGTTTTTATATATAATACATTGCCATGTTAAAATATTTCCAAAGAGAATTGAGATATTTTAAAAAAATATTGCCTATTTTAAATAATTTTTTTTTAAATTGTCAATGGATTATTTTAATCTCGTGATAGAATAAAATGATTAGATTAATTATCTTCGATTCATCTTGTTAAAAAAAAGAAAAAAATATCAATTATAATTGATCTCTCCTAAATAATCAGACTTATAAATTTACTAGATATAAGAATTGATTTAATAATATATTTTAAAAATATTATTTTACTATTTTCAATAATAAATCTAAATTTATTATTAATCTAATAAATATATAAATATTTTAAAAAATATAATTTAAAATTATAAATTATAAATAAAATATTATAATATTATATATATATATATTATTTTATTTAATGTATATTTGAAAAATTAATCGATTAGTTTTTCAATTACTCATGATCGATTCTTTTTTTAAATAATCGATTAGAATCAATTAATTTTTTAAATATACATTAAATAATTTCAAATAAAAATATATATATCAAATTAAAATTAAAAAATAATTATTTATAAATTATATATATTGTATAAATTATAATTATAAAGTTAAAAAAATTATATTTAAAATTATAATCTTAAAAAAAATTATAATTATAAAATTAATAAAAATATAACTATTTTTAATGTTAAGTAAATTATATATATATATATATATATATATATATTATATAAATTATAATTATATATATTACATAAATTAAGAATTTCAAATTAATTATATAAATATTTTGTATAAATTAAAATAATAATTATCAATGTAAAAATAAATTATATTTAGAATTAATATATATATATATATATATATATATATATATATTCTAAAATATTATAAAACACAAAAAAAATACATTTCAAAAATATAATTTAAAATAAAAATATAATTTTATTTAATATACATATAATTTTTAAGATTTTTATTATCCTCCTAATTTATTATTAACTTCTAAAAAATATATTATAATATCAAATAAATCAAGGAATTAACAAAAATTAATCAGACAAATAAAACATAAATATAATATTTAATAATATATTTTAAAAATATTATTTTACTACTTTCAACCATAAATCTATATATATATATATATATATATAT